TACAACAGCCACTGCACTCCTACAACAGCCACTGCACTCCTACAACAACCATGGCACTCCTACAACAACCACGGCAGTCCTACAACAACCATGGCAGTCCTACAACAGCCACTGCACTCCCTACAACAGCCACAGCACTCCCTACAACTTCCCAAGGTGTTCGTCCCCAGCACTAGAAATTAAGATTTCTTCATCTCTGCTAATTGCAGGAGACTGCACATCAGAGCAGGTGTGGGGATAACCCAGAGGACCAGGCACCCTCCTGGCACTGCAAAGTGGTGGCACATCTTTCTGCACATCTCTATTTCCCGTCCATGAGGCTGCTGTGGTTTGAGATGAACTCCTTTATCCTTCACAGTAATCCCAGCAGCAAGCACAGCAATAATGATACAGGCTCAGAAGGACCGGCAGGGGAAGGATAAATTACAGCCCAGGCAGCTCAGCACAGATGCTCTCATTCCAGGTTTCCCACGGGAAGGGCTCTTGGCTCTATTTTCCAGCAGTGGGAATTTGTTGCACTGGGTACAGACCCCCCTGTCCACACTGTCCCCACTGTAACCTGGCCAAGCAGGGATCACCCACCAGGGAGAAGTGCTGGAGGAGAAAGGGAGATGGAGGCAGCAAAGGAGCTGCTGAAAGTCCCAGACTGCTCCTGGCACAGCCCAAAGCCACAGCTCTGCCTGGCCCCTGCCCCCTGCTCCACAACAACCTGCACTGGCAGGTGTGCTGGGTCACCACATCTGACAGACATCCCAAATCCCTGAAAAAATAGGACAGAATAATAGGAATCTGTGAAGGTCCAACATCATCTGGGGAAGGGCTGGGTTTATCCTTTGCTGGCTTAAGCCAAATGAGCCATTAGTGGTTATTGCTGGTTCTGCTCATCCTGCTCACCTTTCAGACTGCCCTCAAAGCTACCTGAAGCACTTCAGGTATATCCCTTTATATTCCTCTCCTAATCTGGGCAGTCCTGAGTGCTCCAGCCTGAAACAGTTCCCAAAGCTCACATGTAAGTGCATTAAGAGCGATTAGTTTATTAATCTACTCTCTGGTACCATGTATCTTCATCACTTCATTTTAATAATTTGTACTAATTGACAGAGCAGACTCCCCCCAGTTCTCGGAGCTGGGTACTGTATAATTGCTCTAAATCACAGCAAAAAACAGTTTCACTGGGAAACACCTAATCCCATTACACTCCCGGTGTCTCTTCTGAGGTTTCACACATGAAAGAAGCTGCAAACTTGGTATCATTAACCACAAGCCAGCAGGACTCCAGGAAGCCCATGTGTTCCTCAAGCTGGAGGGGCCTCTGTGTTTTCAGAGCCCCCAGAGCTGCTCTGCTGACGAGGCTGTTGGGAGTTCAAAGCACCGTGAGAGGCGATTCCAGCCCAGCAGCCACAGCCTGGCTGGAGCCCAGGGGAGCAGCGAGACAATACCCACTTGGTCTGATGTTTGGAGCCCTTCAGGTGCGCGTGGTACTGCTCTATGGAGTTCAGGGTGACGCTGCAGATGTTACAGGTGTAGCTGCGCTTCAGGCCTGCAGAGGAAACCCAGAGTGTTAATTAACCAGGCTGTGCAGTAACCACCTCCAGGACACCAGCACCACCAGAACTTCATCCCACTGGAGCTCACCAAAGCTGCTACTTGGCTGAAACTGGTTCCATAAAACTGAACCTCAACCCCACGGGCCATCTGCAATGGGAAGGTGGTCCCAGCCCGAGCAGTCTGTGCCAGGAGCTGCTGGGCTCTGGCTGTGCTCACATTCCCTTTTGCATCCTCATGACACATCAGCATTCCCTCCCCTGCAGCGTGACATGCATTCATGTAAAATTGAATGTCCTCCTATCCCCATTAAATGAAATATTAACAAGCCAAGTCATTAATGTCATTCTGCATAAAATGCATTAAAACCCATTCCAGGGGAGTTCTTGTTAAACTGCTTCTTACTAACCACAAGTGACAGAACAGAACGAGAAGTATTTATAAGGCATACAAAGAAATTATGAGACGAGATAGAAAATGAAACTCAGCTCTTTGCCTGATTCTGCAAGACAGCATCTGCAACACTGCCAATGCACCTGAGAACACAAAGGCTCCAGGTGAAAACATCCCTGTGCCCTTGTCCTGCTGTACTGCACAGGCTGCCCTGCTTTCTTTCAGGGATTCAGGGCACCTGTTGCAGAGTTTGACTCAGCCCCAGCACCAGGCAGAGTCCATTACAAACCACCTGCCCCTGAGGAGCCAACCTGCCTGGGAGAGGGAACACGAGAGCTCGGCCATGGGGGACACCAGACATGGACTGAAACTGGTGAGGTGTGACCTGACAGAGAAAACCTGCCATTCTTCCTCCCTGTGCTTGGCACAGGTTGGGGAGGGCGAGAGCTGCCAGATGGAGCCGTGCCAGTGCCAGGGTTCAGGGGTAGCCAGGGGAGGCAGCTCTGCAGCAAGAGAACTCCTAATTTCTCCCTCTTTCAGTCTATGCCCACATCCCTCCCTGCCCAGCAGGAGCAGAGGGGGTTCCAGGCCAGCCCTGGGAGCAGGGGGACCTGGAGCAGCTCAGTGCCATGACTGGAAAGCCACACAGAGCTGCTCAGAGAGAGAGGGCTGGACCCTGCCTGTGCACTCCCCTGTGCTGCAGCTTTAACTCAACACACACCACACGCTGCAGAAATGGTGCTCACTTCTCCTTTTTCTTTTTTTTCCTCCTCTTTCTCATTTCTGAGAAGAAAATAAGACTTCAAAATTGCAAGATGAGCACTTGGTGAGAAGAATCAATGTTTTTGTTTCCTATAAATATCAGTTGTCCAAAAATACATCTCTATTCTTATTTCTCCAAATACACATTCATATTTATCAATAAATATTTTATTACAGCCATTATCACAACATCAAAGGCTGCTGAAATGTTGTACTTCAACTGACACTGCTTATTCCAGGCTCACACAATGCATCAAATGTTCGTCTCCCACACTAGTCAAAATAGAATTAATATTTAAGCTGTGATGGGAGAAGCCACCAGGGATGCAGGGAAAGGGGATGACTTTGTGTTCCAGGGAAAACTGAGGCAGCCACTGCCTTCAACACCTGTAAGGATCTGCTCTGGGCTGGCAGCTGAGTGCATCCAGGAGAGCATCTCTGGAGGGACAGAGATGGACAGATGGACACAGCCTAGTTAAGAAAAAGTGGAAAAAAGCTTTCCCAGCTTGGCAGGCTCAGGGATGGGCTCAGGGATGGGCTCAGGGATGGGCTCAGGGACAGCCCCTTTGGCTCTGGCTGCACACCTCCCTGGTGCTGGGGAGCACCACAGGCTGCAGCCTCCAAAACAGCATCCTGGAGTGTCCAAGCAGAGGGCCACAGCTGTTCCCCTGCACCAGGCACACACACAGCCAGGACAGCTCTGCTGTCCCCTCTCCTGCCACCCCCAGCTCCAGAGGGACCACACTGGACCCAGCTGCAAACCCCAGCCAAGCACAGCACCACCGGAGGGTAAAAACCAGCGGCTGATGAGGCTGTGAAGGCCTCCAATTTCACCTCTCCCAGGCACAAGCTAAATGACTAAAACACTTCACCACTGATTTATTTACAGTTAATGACATCCTCGGCCACTCTGGAGCTTGGCACAGTTCAAAGTACCGAGCACTTCCATGTTATTGTCCCAGGTTTTATTCCCACATCCTTCCAGCAGCGGGCAGTGACTCAGCCCCATGAATCATTGATGACACCATGAGTCACACTAGGTAGCACAGGAGGATCTGGATAACCATTACAAGGTTTATGGGAGATCAAGAAATGCACAATATATTGTATAGTCATTAGTATCTAAAGGAAAATTATTTCATTTAGCAAGGAAAAAAAAACACCAGGTATTTTAAAATGTTATTGCAAAGCCTCACTGGCAAACCAGACCTCCCCCATGTGGCTCTGAATCAAACCTGCCCTTCTGCCTCAGCTGCCTCGGTCTGCACAGGGGATCATAACCCAGACCTCAGAGACAAGAGGCTCGTGCCTCTCCTGTGCCTGCCCCTCAGAGCAAACCTGTGCTCTGTCAGGATTCAGTCCTGGACACGGCACAAATCACAGCTCCCCACCACGGGCTCCAGAGGCCCTGGGGGTCCCGGGGGGCTGTGGCTCCACTCTGCACGAGAGCATCTCCCAGAGGGGTGCAAAGCCTGTGTGACCCCAAGGTGCAGCCCCCACAGGGATCCTACAGGTGCCAGAGCCCCTCCCCATGGGGCCAGCACGGGTGGACAGACAGACAGACAGACAGAGGAAGGCTGCTCTCCCTTCTGCAGGAACACAGAAAACTTGTGTTTAACATCCCTGCAGCAAGTGCTCAGCTCCTCTGGCTGTGTGGCCCCGGGGCCACCGCAGTGTTTTACAAGCACTAATTAAATCACAGCAGACAGCTCTGTCCCACTCTCCATCAGGGACATGTAGGGAGTGCTCTGCCTCCAGCAACATCCTCCCATCCCCGTGTCCCCGTGGGGCCAAGGGCTCCAACGTGTTCTCCTCTCCCAGGGATGGGCCACACTTGCTCGAGGACAGGCGTGTGTGCCAATGGAAGGGACTATTTTGGGAGGAGGTAGAAGAGATACCTAGGAAACAACTTGGAAAGGATGCTGCTAAAACTGCAGGTTGGCACCCTGGAGCAGGGGATTTTTTTTGTCACAGAAGTGGGAACCTCATGAAGCAGTAACAGGACCCCGGGGTCCCTGCACCACTGGAGCAGGGGAGCAGTGACCACAGCGGGTGAGGGTCACCGGATCCCACGGGGAGCAGGTCCCCATCTCCACGTCCCCATCTCCCTCACCTCTCAGCTCCCCCAGGTCCAGGGTCTTGCCCAGCTGCTCCAGGAGGTCAGCCCTGGCCGCGTTCTTCTTGTGCTTTTTGCCGTCGTAGTGCTGCTGTGCCATCATGGGGTTGTTGAACCAGGCTGTGCAGAGCTGGCAGTACCTGTCCGAGTCCCGGCGCTGCGGCGGCGACGGCACCGCCGGGGGACTGTCCGAGTGCGGCGCCTTCAGCGAGCCCAGGGCAGCTTCTGCAAAAAGGCAACGCTCAGACATGAGCTTTCCAGGCTTGTGCTGCTGCCTGAGTAACAGCAGAGCCCCAGGCAGATCCCACATTAGACACGGGGAATAATTAGCAGCAGTTACAGGGTCCCAGTGGATGTTTTGGATGGCACTGCTTGGAAATCTACCACTTCTCATTAAAAAAAGCAGCATGAAAGGACAGCCCGGGACTGTTCCTCAGCTTTCTGCATTTCAGTAGCTGGGGAAGGAGGATGCTCTCAGTTCAGTTACACTTCTTACCACTGTTGTGACTAAATCTGCTAAACTTATCCTGCTTAAATTGCTACTCCAAGGAAAAATCACCGATGGAGGATAAATATACCATGCAGAGCCATCTCCTTCTCACGACAGAGAGACAGATTTATCACTATCTCAGGATTCTTATTTTTTAATTTATTTGGTCTCAGAAAGAACAGGGAAAGCCACAGTCATTGTAAATTGTCACAGATGAAAAAAGAATACCCAATAGTCAGTCCCATCCTTCAAAGACCATATTGTGAATTGTCAGGTACCAGCAACCCCTGATCTTAACTTAATTCCATTTTCCAGCCCATCCAGGAACACAAAGATGACCCCCAGTCATTTCATTCCAAATAAAAAAGGGTGATTAGTCTTTATATAATGGAGTGCACCTTGTTCAACACAGTTCCCCAAAACTTTGTACAGTACAAGTCACAGAGCCACAGAAAAACAGTTTAAAGTGAAATAAAGTTCAGACAACATCGTGATACAAAAATATACAATGACTAGCACTTAATTATCACACTTCGTTCAAAAATTCCCTTTTATGTGGTTTTCCTTTTCTTTTCCAGATGAAGTGTCTGCTCCCTAAATAATTAACAGCCTGCTCTCTCCGTGGCACTGGAATAGGCACATTTGGAGGTGGAGAGAGGAGCGTGGTGGCTCCCTTTGATCAGGAGGTGATCCAGCTGAGCCCTGATGAGCACACAGGGCAGAGGATGCCAAACCCACCTCAGTGTCTGACACCAGGAATGGCAACACAGGGATATATTTAGGCACACAGTCATGCCTGGAGCCCACTGTGATTGACTCCACGGCTTGAGAAAGTTAATATTGTTATAAATCTTCTGCTGACCTGCTCGTCTATTAACTTCCTTCGAGGAAATTCTATCTTGCATATAACATTACTAACAACCTTCTCAGTTTCCAGGGATTTGCAAGCCTCTGTTGTTTTTGGTGATGACTGCCAGGGTATCAGAGTTCTGAAGAGCTGCTCGGGGCAGGGGCAGGGCCAGGCAGGGCCCAGCTGGATTTGGCTCCTAAAAACAACACCTTTCCTACAGTTTCCACAGGAGAGACACGGCCCAGCCCCTCCAAGGTGCACGTGGCAGAACTGCAGGCACAAGAAGAGCAGAGCCAGGGGCCAGCACAGCCACTGGGAAAAAAATGAGGGAACTGCAATATTGCCTCTCTGAACTGAAATTACACAGACCCTGCAGGTGCTTGGCTCACAAAAAGAAGCACAGCTTGCCTGCTGCAGACACGTTTCTGCACTCCCTGAGGAGCCCCCCTGCAGGAAGGGGTCCATGCCCAGACCCCAGTGATGCCACAGGGACTGGGAACAGCCCCAGTGATGCCAGGGGGACCCTCTGCAGTGCCCTAGGACAGGGCTGAGCTGTGCTGGGGCACCAGACTGAGCTGCAGAGATGTTCAGACCATTATAAACAACCAGTGACTTCAGCAGCCCCGGAGCTCTGACAGATCTGACTTGCTCTGCAAGCCCCAGGCTGTGAAGTTCAATCTATCCACCCTTTTGGTCAGCTTTCCCCGTGTCTCTATGTTCCTGTGGCCGGAGGGGAACCAGGGAGGCTGAAGCTCACGGAGCTGGTGGTGTCTGCAGGAGTTACATCTCCCACTCACTAAGGGAACCCGACAGCAGCATCTCTGCTCTCAGCCCCAGGCTGGCCCAGCAGCCCTGTGGCTGTGCCTCTGAGCCCTCTCCAGGCTGGTGGCTTGTGCTGCCCCAAAGGCTGGGCAGGAGGCTGTCAGCGGGGTGGCACCACAGCCCCCATGCCCACCCTGACCCTTCTCTAAGCCCACCACCACATCTGGCTCCCCCTGAACCCATGGGCTGCAGCCCCACGGTGGGGACCCCCTGCCCAAACCACAGAGGGGCTGCCCCAGGCAGGGATTTCCTCTCAGCACTCAGCACAAAACACCTGCTTGTAAAGCCACACTCCTCAGGTCCCACTGACAACCCCCACCACTCCTAAGGTGGGCTGAGCTGGCCTGGAAATTAATGAAAACATCCCAAATTCACCAAATCCTCCTGAAGAGAAACAGATGAAAGTTGACTTCTCCCCAAGTGTGGATTCACTGGTTTGATATGTGCTACATAACTGCTGCAGAACAGCAAATGCCATCATTCCCCGAGCAGCGACACGAAAATTAATAATAAACACTCACAAAACGTCAAACGTTAAAAATGTTTCTCCATCTAAAACACAAACATAAAAGCTGCGAGTTTGACTATTTCAAGTATTTCAAAATGCTAAATAGCTCATGACAGTCTGCCTTACGCTCCCTTTCACTGTGGGAGGGAAGTGAGAAAGTCTTACTTTGCTGCAAGAGGCAAAATACAAAGTTAGAAACACTTTAGCACTCCAGCGATGAACTAACGTTTGACTTCTTTCTCACATCCAAAGCTTTTTATTCTGAGCTGGATTTAAATGGCACCCAACTTTTCCATTGGCACGCTCCAGGAACCCAGCATGAGGACAAGAAAGAACTGAGCCACAACAAGGGGGCACTGGGGAAACTCGGTTTTTCTTCAGAAGAAATCCCAGAAATCTGGGACTCAGGCAGACTCCAGCCACTGCTGGACAGATCCTTGCATCCAAACCCAAAAGCCATTTACTCTGCCCCCCTTGGTGTCCCAAAGCCAGGACTATTGCCACTTGCCTGGAACAATCCCTGCAGGTTCACTCGGATCAATGAAGGCAGCAGCTTTTTCCCCCACAATTCTTTGGTTTATAACTCCTGGGGATGATGGGATGCAAGCTGACAGAGGATGTTGGAGATGACTAGAGGAATTCGTCAGCAATGGCAGTGACATAAAGCCTCTGAGGGGTACAACCTTGTACAGCAGAGCAACAGGAAAGATCACAACTACCTCACTGTCATGATGAGACATCGTTTTTGTGAGAAACCCGACTGTTGGGGCACTTCTCCCTTTCCTGAAAGCACTGGCAGAGAACGAGAGATTTGTGTTCCATTTGGATGGTAACAGTGAAGGGGAAGGTGTATCTCTGCAAGGAGACTGAGACTAGATGTGATTTTCTTCAGGACTGATGAGACAGAAACCCCAGAATATCAGGCAGCAGAGTATCTTCCCCAGGAGCATCCAGCACACTCAGGGCTGTGCTTAGTTCACTCCCAAGACTCACGAGCACTGGAGTCTCTGAAGATCTGTCTGACAGAATTAAAGCTCCCTGGTGCCAGACACGAAGGACTGGGACAAAAATCCAGTGGAAAAATGCTGGGTGATTTAAGGAAGCTCAGAAAAATGCTGTGTCCAAAGGGTATATTTCTGAGAACTCCTGGAGAGCGAGGAGGTGCTTATTAATGTATTCCTGAGCTCAGCTTCATCTTCCAGATCAAGTGCCTGGAAGAGCTGATGAGTCCTTGAATTACTCCTTCCCAGTGATTAGGATGGCTGAAGAGCCCATTACTCTGGAGCACCAAGTGTGGCTCACTTAGAGCCTTGTGAGGCTGATCCAGATGATTCAAAAGTGAGACCAAAACACAATGCCAGGCTGCAGCCCTTGGCAAGCCCTGCCCTGGCCGGGCCCCGTGGTCCCTGTACCTGCCTGCACAGTCCCCACGGGAGAATCCAAATCATCAGCTTACATGGGAATCACTCTCTGTGCTCTTCCCTGAAATGGAAGGGCCCAGGGCAGCAATTCTGGGTCACATCTGCCTGCAGGACCTCAGCCCAGGGATCCTTCCTGGAGAACAGGGAGTGCTTTGCTTGAGCATTCTCGGTCCCCACAACAACAGAGGAATTTTTTTTTTTCCACAGATTATCAGTGTTTTTCAGGGACTTTATGGTTAAGCAAACAATAAGATGGTTAAATTATCCGATTCCAACACTTGACTTTTTAAATGTGAAAGTTAATAGGCTTGCATTAGTGGAATCACTGTGGAGGAAAGCAGAAAACCCATCTGGGCAAAAATCAAGAGACAATCAATCCAAGAGTTTTTAAAGCCTGGATTTCCCTCTGAGGCAAGCGCAGCTCATGCTCTGCTCTGTACAGTAACACCAAAGGTTTATTAAACTTATTAGCGGAGCTGCTGATAATTAAAGCCAGGTTTGGCTCTCTGTGCCCAGCAGAGACATTGTCTTCCACGAGCAAAAACCCTTGGGAAGCGTGGAGCCAGAGACAGGGCTCTCACACCAGGGCCAGCCCCCGGCTGACAAACCCCTCATCTGCACGAACAAAGCAGACAATAACGAGCATCAGCAATTTTTAAAGGTTGTTATGACAGCAACACAAAGGAACAGCTGCTTCTGCCAGCCACCACCACTCAGCCATCCAGGCTGTGCCCGTCTCTGCCCGCACACACCGAGCCCCCCGTGCCCCCCACGCCAGCCCCTCCTGCTCCACTCGCTGCCTCTGCACCTACCTGTGGCCTTTAATGCTGGTTGTTCCCCTAGCAACAATTTTAACCTCTTGGCGTGGATTTTCCCTTGGTAATGCGATTCGGCCACCACTGCTGAGGTAAAGGACATGTTACATAGTGTGCAGCATTTGTTCTTATCCACTGAGTCACCATCACTGCCCTGGGTGGAGACAAAAACACAGACAAAAAAAGAGGTGTGTAAGCCCACCGAGCACAGTCACGGAGAAAGAAGAGAGGAATCCAGGTTGTTATGCCAAGGCCATGGCTGCCAAGAGGTTTCCCTTCCTTGTGCCTCTGAACCTCACTCCTGCCCGGTCCCAGCCCTGCCCAGGGGACACCTCCAACTGCCTGGCACCTTCACCCTGCTCTGTGCTGGGAGCTCAGCCTGTACCTGTGTCCCCCACGGCCACAGGGCTCCTGGCACGTCCCCCAGCCTCCCTTCCCTCAGCCTTTATTCCTGTTCTCTGGCTGAGGTCACACAGACCTGGAGCTTTCCCTGCCCTCTGACACCAGCACTTCCCCCTGAGGCACTTCTGCAGGAGACCCCAAAACCCCTGGGGGACAGGACTTGGGGGGCACAACCCTCTGTGCAGGTGGGAGAAGCAAATGAACTGGCCAGAATCGTGCATGTCCCCTCACCAGTTCTGGGTGAACCTACCCACCTGACCCACCACTGAAGGTCATCTTATCCCCCAGAAAGGCACTATTAGAAAAATGACTGATTTTCATCACTTTTTTGTTGTTGATAACTGTAAATCAACTTAAACCTTAGGGAGAAATCTCAAGAGGTGATTAGTACTGTTCTGAGTATAATTTGCACTTCTTTTAAATAGCTTTCTCTCAAGATATTTTATGTCTTCAAAGGGAAATCACTTGAAAGTTAAGAGCAGAGTAAAAAATTTCCAGACTCTATTGATCATCAGTGGTGGCAACATATAAAGAGCCTCCAACAGAGCTCGTTTGAAAAGCTGATACACTTCGGTGTTAATGCACCAGGGTCTCTTCCTCTGCCAGGGCTGCTCTTCAGTGACACTTTTTCCTTTCCAACCTACTTTCTCAGCTAGACTGCAGTCATAAAAAAGAAAATAAAACCCCCCTCAAAGACCCTTATGACACCTCATGTAGAGCCCAGGGTCCCGTTTACACTGACCCACAGTTCACTGCACAGCTCACCCCGGTTCACCCAAGTCTCTGGGTGGGCACCTCAGTGAGTGGGCAGGGGAGGAGGGTCACCCCCAAACTCTTGGTGGGTCTGCAGGTCCCTCTGCACACACATGACAGACCCCTGCTCCCTCACAGCCAGCTCCACACACCAAGAACTGCTCCTCCTCAGCAGGATGCACGAGGTGTTTGGGCTCGGGTGTTATTAAGCATTTACCCACGTTCGTATCCTCCACCAGCAGCATCACCTCTCTTCCCTCCTCCACCATCCCCTCCCTTCCTTCCTCCACCATCCCGGCCCTGCACAGAGCCAGAGCTCCGGGCTGCTCAGCCCTGAAGGGTAATTATGCCGTCTCATTTGTCAGCGGCTGTTTTACCTGTAACCGGAGGGGCCGGGGAAAGCCGAGCCGGGTGTCTTTTGTCACCCCCTGAATGACACGGCGCTGACAGGATTGTGCAGCCAGCTGGTGAAATCACACCCCTTGTCTGCCAGGACACCCGAGCCGGGGCACAGGGCAGCACCTGCTCCCCGGGGATGCACCCACCCATCCCTGCCCATCTCCTGTGCCAGCCCGGGCTGAAGCAGTGAACAGGCACTGACAGCTCCTCTGAGCTGCCACACACCCACCCAGCAGCTCCCTGACCCCCTGCTGCCAGGCCCAGCCAGGGAACATTTCCACCCCTCGTTCCCTGAGCCTTCTCCAGCCAAACCTTGGCCACCACGCAGCACAGGAGCTTCACACAACAGAACAAACCAGGGGCTGGGAGTCAGAGCATCCATCTCCCAAAACTGGCATCCCACCTCTTCCCCCCCTCCACAGCTGTGCCAAGCCAGCCTAATTTATAGGGCTTCTTTTTGTGATATTAGAAACTTCAAAGCCAGTCTCGTACATCCAACAGAATTAACTTCAGTTATTCTGCTGCCTGTTAACAAGCTGCTAAAAGGCATAATCCCCACACAGGGCCAGGCACTTGCAGCCCTTTGCTGGGTATTCCTTAAGCAATCCACAGGAAAAGTAAGGATTTTTATTCCACAGATACAAATCTGCTGTCTTCATTTCCTAGGTTTTACTAAGAAGAAAAGATTATACAAGCCCTTGAATACAGCAGTATAAACCACAGCACTGAAAGCACTGCAAAATAACTTTTAAATTTGAGTTAATTTTCTGTGCATGAAGGTGCTGCTATTAAAGGGCTGCTTTCTGTAACGCTCCACAGGAAATTCAGGCCATTGCCATTCTGGAGCCTGTTTTTCTCATGGCACAAGAAAAGAGCCAGTTTATGGCTCCCTAAAGCTGAAACACTTGAGTCTGGACATGCTGAGAAACAACAAGCCCCAGGTGAAGTGCGGGGGTGTGACAAGGTCAGCACATGTCCCACAGTCCCCACTCTGGCAGGAGCAGAGCCACTGGCAGCCTGGGGAGGATGGGATGACCCAGAGGACCCTGGCTACCACCACCCAGCTGTGTCTCTGTGGGCATTTAAACCTGCTGGAGAATGAATTAAAGTCTTCCATCACTGATTTCTTTCACTGAACCAGTACTGGGTGCTTTGGTTGCAAACCTCTGGTAGGGTACAAAAGACAGAGCAAGAACATTGGCCCTAAAACCCCCTTAGTCTCAGTGGAGATGCTGAAGATTTCAGCTACAGCACACGGTCAATTCTGCCCCAGAAGGGTTCAGGACTGTGATTTCCTCACTGATGGGGAGCTGAGGCAGCCCCTGGCTCCACCACCCCCAGCACTGCCTGGCAGGACACACATCACCTCAGCCACAGAATCTAATATCCTGCTGCCTTCCCTCAGACCATTCATCCTCACTGTTATGAGCCCTTTCCCGAAGCTGGTTAAAGCAATTTACTATCCTACAGTACCAGTAGGGCTAGAAAGGATTTGAAGGCTTTTCTCCCATGCCAAAAAAAATGTGTTTCATAACACACCAGACATTTTCATCATGTCTGTTCTGATCATAAACAGGGTCCTGTTAGTTAAAGGCAGTGAGAAAAGGTTGATTAAATCTGATTTACCAATCCTGGGACTTGAGGAAAGGACTCCTGATTTCAGCAGGGCCCTGACACCTTCTCAGATGACTTTCAGCTGAAATGTTAAGCAGAAATTTAAAACGGAAGGTCAAGCCATGAGGTTTTTTTCCCCTCCTCCACACAAAATTAAACCAATAACGAAGAGCACAACAACCGAGCCCTTATCCAGTGCAGGACTAATTGTATGAGCCTCCTGCTTCTCACTCCAAAGGGCTAACGGGTGCTTTGGGAATGCAGGGTGTTTCTGCAGCCCTCAAACTACAAACAGCACTACCCTTCACCTCACAACAAGGTCAGGAAGCAAATGCTGCCTCCGATCCCATTGCACCGAGTATCCACAACTGCAGCTGCCTCTCCCTCCTGCTGCCAGAGGGACAAGGTGTTGGCTCTGTGGCCAGCAGGACAGAAAACCCAATGGCACACAGCCATGGAACAGTTCTGATGGGGAAAAAAAGGCTAATATTCATTTTTTTAAGTTGCAGATACTTCTGCACGAATTTAATTGGTCTTCATGGATTATTTCTAATACTCATTAGAGTTGCTGTGCCACGGCCCAGTGACACTGCTGGGATCAGGCACCACAGCCACACGTGTCCATGGCAGGGATGTCACTGTGCAGCATTCGAGAGGTCCTAAATAGTTCTGCTCTCTCTAAATGCAAAGGCTTGGGTAATATCTGATCAGCAACGAGCCCACTTTGAGCTCTAAACATTGGCAGATTTTCCCTGCTATATTTTCATAACACAAATAATTTTAGAATTTAGGTCTGGCCTAGCCCAGCATTCACCTAGAGCACGAGGACTCACTAATCCACCCCCCACTAGGGTTTCCCTTGGCACAAGCACCAGCAACCACAGAATTACACTCCTTCTCCATGCTGCCTTCCAGAAAAGAAGTGGGAAACAATTCAGCTTTGACTTATTTGAGGTCTGGTTGGTTCTCTGTCCTCCATATCCCTGTGCTGAGATGCACATGCAGTATGTGGTTCCTTGTTAGACATAATCAAACCCCTTGGAGGATCATGTTCCCAGGCTGTATGTGCCTGCCCACTGAGCCCTTCACACTGTCATTAATAACTCAATGAAAATGCAGTGAGATCCTGTTGTCAAGGGGCAGATTGCAACTGCAAGTACTCCATGTGCAACAGAAATGTTCTCTAATGTTTTAATTACTGTGTGAAGGAGCTTTCAGATTCCTTGGGCAAAATCTGCACCCTTCTCCCTTTGATTAGAAGATATCTCAGTAAATATCAATAGTGCTCAGCCCCAGTCACACTGAACTGGTTTGGATGCTGCGTGCTGGGAACTTCACCCTTGCACAGCAACCCCAAGGGCCCTGCCAGCAGCACCCCAGAGTGGCCACCACCCCACTCCTGGAGCCTCCATCCCCCCCATCACCTGCCCCAGGTGCTCACCAGCAAACCCAGCCACCACACTGAAATGGAGTCAGCCCTGGGCACCTGCTATCAGCACGTTTTGTCCTACGAAAGAACATCCAATAACTAGAAATGCAATCCCTGCTGCTGATGCGCATCATTCCCGTGCGGTTTATTGAAAATTATTTTCAGCAACTCTGCACTTCAGCTAATCTGAACATTACCTCTGGGCACCTATCATCTGTGCCTGTAACAGAGAGAATGCTGTGGCCCAGAGTCAGTGAGTCACAAAGCAGCTGAATAAACAGGGACCTGGATTGTACCCACGTTTTCTGACCGGAGCTTTTTCGCCGGGCAGCCTCCGTCGACGGGGTGAAGCATGTAATAGAGGCGGACTTTGCTGGCATGCTTCCGACTCTGGAAAACAAAAACAGAAGAAAAAGGAGAACCGAAGCTGCAAGGAGCAGGAGACTCTTGCTGTGCTCACTAAAGCAACCCACAGTCAGATTTCACATCCCCTTCGCACAGGTATCCAACACCGGAGCAGGAAAGGGGGAAAGACCCAGGCGAGGAGCATCTGCACCCCACAGAGGTTTCACAGAGCTCTGCACCCAGCTGAAACGAGCTGTGGGATGACTGGGACTCCTGCCAGTAGCAGAGGAAATGGTCCACCCCAGCCACCCCCTAAGTCCTGCTGCCTGCAGCCCCTCGGAGACACGGGGGGGATCAGGTGGCGAGGGAATTTGTTACCTGAAATATGGGGTTACTGAGCTTCAGGTGAGGACAGGATGGCATCGTGAGGGGTCAGAGGCACACACACACAAACCAAACCCACAGCTCCTACACTTCCAGCATGACAAAATATAACAGGGGTATAAAACCTCCTGTGAGGGACACACGAGCAGGTTTCCTGCTGCCTCTGGGCAGGGCTGGAGCTCACCCTCACCTTTGGGCAGGTGAGGGTCACAGGGCAGGTGAGGGTCACAGGGGATGGGAGGTTCCCTGCTCATGCCAGGAGCAGCAGCAGCCAAAGCAAACCCTTGGGACTTGCAAAACACAAAGGAAGATTTTAAAGCTTCTACAGCAGGAGCACAGACACAAACCTTTAAAACCCTGACTTACAGTCAGCTCTTGTCTTCCAGCAGACGCAGGGAGGAAAAACCTGCAGCCACAAAATACCTGCAGCCACAAAATACCTGCACCCAGCATATTGTCCAGATATGTGGGCAGCTGTTATCGTGCAAATGCCTCCTCTGAATCTCCCTTTTCTGATTGCCCTACAGAACAACAGCACTGCAATACCATAATTTCAGATCACAGAGCCGCAACTTGAAAATACTAAATTATCATTAGCATGTTCTGGAAAATTCTTTTTCCTGTGGTATGAACTTAAAGCTAAATTTGCAGGGAGCTATAAATTGTATTTGTGTGCAGAAATGGGACTATACAATAATTTTTATCCACGGAGCAAATCAGTCAAGATAAATAACGTCAAGTATCTGTCCTCAGTTTGTCCTCCTGCTGCATTTAGCCAGTGTGACCTGCCACGGTCAGAGCTAAGTGCAGGAAACCCCAAAGCTCCAGCTATGAGATGAGCAGCCCAGGCAGCAAGAGCTGTGTGATTAGGAGATGACAAAACAGATGTTTGAAATGCACGGGACGGAGGGGCGGCGGCTCTCGGCGCTCCCGGTGCTTGGCCGCGGTCCCGCTTCCTGCCCGGAGCGCCCGCTCAGGGAGAGTCCAACACCCCGAACAGGCAGTGTGGCCTGAGCTTTTCAGCTGAATTCCTTCCCTGAGCATTGACACCCCGCAGAGCAGCCAGCCTCCCTCGAGTCATCCTCCCCACAGTCACGAGGCTCTTCCCTCGGGTGAGTTCATCCAGCCCGTCACGATGCCCACACGCACACACAGCCACAGCCTGCTCGCTTTAGAGGGTAAAATGTTTGGGGGGGAAGGCTGCTGGGCGTGTGAAAACCACAAAGGCAAGATGTTAAGAGGAATCATTATTGTGGTTCTGCTCCGTGGCACTCAGCTGGGCCACAAAGATGCCCAAACGTTGGCGTTAAAAGGCAGCAAAGCTTCAGCCCTCTGTGAAACACCTCTCACCTTCACTCAAGCATTTGTTTGGATTTACGAAAGCCTAGGTAAGGAAATGACTTATGTTTGGCAAGATCTAAAACCACACGGCTCCTTATGCAGCCTCATTATCCTACGGTTACAAAAGCAGAGCTCAGAATCCTCCCTGGCCTCTGCACGTCCGTGGTGAGCGTCTCCTTCCCTCTGCGGGGCGGGGGAAGCGCAGCCCATTTGTCATCCATTTTATCTCTGGTATTTCCTACATTTACATGTGTATTTATCAGCCCAGCACCCAGGCAGGAGCACGGCAGGAGCACAGTGATTATTCCTGGCGTGCTGCTGCTCGCAAACAGCCCCGTGGGTTGTCCTCTCCCTCCGCAAAGCAAACCTGCAGCTCCGAGGCACGAGGAGGGCAAGTGCCAGACACACAGCGGGGCCAAAGGAAGAGCCACGAACAGCAGCCAGGAAACCAGGATAAATTGGGATCTGGGCACCTCCAGCTTCCATTTTGATCCATCTCACCACACGCACAAGCCTTAGAAAAGACAAAACCTCTCCACATGTGTCAATCCACAGTCTGGAAGCAGCACCCTGCCTGTGGAGGCACCTCCAACAGCCACCACAACCTCATCTTGGGTGCAATAAGGGTGTTTCTGTGCCTGGGAATATTTCTTTTGTAGCTGTACAGAGTGTTACACCAAAGGCATTTTCACTTCATTTCCCTGTCTCTAGTGGGAACAGCACCTTTCAAAGGCATGAAGTCTGGCTTAATGCTGTGGGCTTGAAAACCAGCCCTGGCCATGCAGGGAGCTCAGAGAGAGCCTGTTTTCACATAGCTGCTGCAGAGTTCTGCATTGCAAGCTCATGTGCCACTGTGAGGCTCATCAATAAAAGTAAATAAATGGATCATTTCTATCTCTATCAAATCTACTCTAACACAGAAGATTGTGGCAGAGACAGCAGAGTTCTGGCAATTCAACTCTGAAACATAAAAAGGCAAAGCAGAGCTAAACTGTGCTATGAAATGCAATTTGGCCTTGCATAAATCAGGTTTTGGAGCACACTCTGCCCGGAGCAAGAGGCGAGAGCAGGCAGTGAGGTCTCTGTGGGAGCAGGGGCAGCTGGCAGGGCCTGGGGAGCTGCAGGCAGGGCTGGTTTGGGATGCACAGCCCTGCTCGCCCCGGATGATGGAGGGGCTGCTCATCCTTCCTCTGTACATCTACACACGGCTCTGGGGAGCACTGACCCGTCTCCCCTCACACGGCCAGAAGTCCCCAGCTGAGGCAGCAGCCCGAGGCTGCACAGACACACACAGATCCCCCCTGCCCTGTGTCTGCCCAGGGCTCTGGGCGAGCAGACCACCCGAGCTCAGCACCCCACTGCAGCCCCGCTTTGCACTGCTGATCCAAGCTGAGCTGACAGTCTGAAACACTTCAACACTTCACCATTTTGTGAGGGTCTTCCTCCCGTCCCCCCTGGCCAGGTTCAAACCAACCGTCTCTGCAGCTTCCCTCACGCTGTGCTGGCAGCTGAGCTCATTTCCCTGTTCCCCACAGATCCCTTCATCAATCCTCGCTCCCTCCTGTGCTGGCAGCTCCGTGGTTTCAGTCAGTCTGCCCTTCCCCTCCTGCTCCTCCTGCTCTGTGACCTCCTCTCCAGCCAAAGGCCAGGGGTCCCAGCCCTGGGGAGTGTGGCCACACCGAGCATCGCTGGAGACACGAGTGGGAGATCAAGGAGGGATCCATCCTGACAGCCCAAATGGCTGCAGCTCCTCTTAGTTTGTAAAAAATTCTTTTTCAGAAACCCATCGGGTGGGTTTTAATCCTTTTAGTCTACGGTGTTGATTTTTTTGTGTGTGCTGGCAGTTTCTTAATTAAATTGCCATGCAACGTGCAGTCACATGATTACACCAACTTTATTATCTGTATTGGCCCTGCTTGTAATCTCATCAAAAGAGAGAAAGTTATTTTGACTGGCCCAGTTCTCCAAACCCCATTACATCATCCTCCAGCCCCTCTCCCGAGCCTGCTGTGCCCAGGAGCTGTGCCAAGCTGGAGGGCTCCAGCTCCCAGTGTGGGTCCCCCAGAGTTGCCGTGCTTGGCTCTGCACTCTCTTCCTCCTGGAAACTTCCTCCACCTTCCCAAGCCCGTGGAGGGTCAGCAGTGCTGGTGCAGAGCGTGTGGCCAGTGCACTCCAAACACTTGTGAGTTAATTCCTGGACCTGCCGACTCAAACAACAACAACATTCTGGATTTCATAATCGCTGCCTGACAAACTCCCGAATTTCTACTGGAACGGGACCAATCTATTCCTCCCTCTGTGATATAACAACATCCTCTGCATTTTTTAAATAGAGGGCAGAAGTATTTTCAGCAAACGCCTTCCCTTTTCTGCCTCTCCTACCCACGCGACCAGCAAACCCTGTCAAGCTCCCCGTGGTTCAGCGCAGAGCCAAACTCCGGCTGTTATTCCAGACACTGCTGCCTGTCAATGCCCCTTTTCTCCCTTTGTAATTTTTGCAAAGCCTCATTTATAATTTATGGTCATTTCTATCAACTGCCCCTTTTTTCCGCCGTGAGTTTAATTTTTTAAAAAGCGTCTACTGGTGCTTGTGCCTTCCTGGGCACACAGATCTGTGTCCACAGCTCCTGAGTGCTCAGCTGAATTCTCACCCCCATCAAACCGGCTGCTTCAAAGCAGCAGAGAAGAACATTACTGGTTTGGACATTGATTTGTTTACATGTAAGGGTAATTACTGATGATCTATTCAGCCAAGCAACTACGAGCTCACTTCATCTTCCCTACATCTGTGATCACTCCTCCCAGCTTGCCAAGCTGACTCCAAGTGAGGATCCTGAGCATGAATTTTCTGTCTCGGGAATCACCATTTCAGCTGTGATCTTTAACTTCACCACGTCCTATATTGATTTTGACTGTAGTCAAAGTATTTCTTGTCCAACACACTGCTGGGTATCCTGCAGAGAGGAAATAAGTCTGCTTGGAGGCTGTTGCTGGAGCAGCGTGGCAGGAGCAGCCGGGCTCAGAACCCGGCTCACGTGGTCCCACACCCACAGACCTGTCCCCCACAACCAGGGTCATCACAGGCATCTGCTCCTCCCCAAACCTACCAGGAGTCCCTTCTCACATCACTCCCTCACATTCCCTCTGCAGTGGATCTTACATCTACACTAACACAACCATGCATTTACTTCTCCACTGGCATTAAGGGATTTTTCCAGCCAGTGCATCTCCATGAGCAACCTGATCGAGCTGAAGGTGTCCTTGCCCTTGGCAGGGGGTGGACTAGACCTTTAGAGGTCCCACCCAAGCCAATCCATTCT